CGGAGCTCCGCGCCAGCCCGCACCCGCTCGCTGCCCAGCCAGTGCCGGCCTCCAGTGTGGGCAGCCCCTCCGCCCTCCCCGCTGTCCCTCAGGGAGCGCCCTGGGCCTTCCTGCCCCCGGGCCGGGCCGTACCCGCCGCGGCCCTTTCTCTGCATCTGCGCCACTTTCAGTTCACCTTTCCGGGGCGTGGGTGGTTCAGCGCAGCCCCACGGAGACCTCGCTCGGGCTTCGGACAGGGCCCTTCATCACAGGAAATACTTGACCTAGTGTGTCACCGGATCGCCTTGGTCTCTTCGTGGTCGCTTTAACTTGGTGGCTCGCGAGGACTTTTCTACGAGCAGTGTCTGCCGCTCCCCGTGCTCTTGGTGCTCCCGCCGATGAGCTCGTCCCTTCCCGCAGAAGCTCCAGGCCCTTCGGGACACGGCTGTGCCTCTGCAGCCCCCCCTCCTTCCCCCTCCAAACGGTCTGATTCATACAAATCCCATTTTTCTGCGCTAATGCCACCCCGGCATCATCAGTAAAGCTCTGCACGCAAGATACTTAGCAAAAGTACTAAATAAAACTGGTCACAAGGCAAAACAGCATTTGTAACCTCCCTCCTGCCTAAAAGCTCCCTGACAACCCATTATCTTCCTTCTTGAATTCGGATTAAATTTCCCTGTACAAGTCTTAAAATAATAACCACTACCTTAAGAGGCTACTCAAGTTTAAATTGTATGCCAGACCAAAAACACTAGGAAAAGGCAAACTGTCGACAGACATTCAAAGGCTTCTAACTCTCAGCTCAGTCAGACACAGATGGAGAAGCAGATTAGTGCTTTGTCATTTATAGTGCTGTTTGTAACGTACGTTTCTCATTTCCTTCATCTTATACTCCTGAGGCCTGGCCTGAAACCCACTGAAGCTGAGTGGAGTCTTTCCGCTGACTTCACCCTCTTTTGCATCAAACCTTTACACAGTGCAGCTGATACAGAGCGTAACTGAGTCTGTGTTCTGCCTGGAGGCAGTTTGTTTGATAAATAATTAGCCTGCAGCTTCTTGCCGAAATCTGGAACTACTTTAAACTAAAGCTGTAGCACTTCATGGTTGATTCTGCTTTTAACTGGTTTTGAATACTAAAAAACACCCTGGGACTTTTTAATGAAGGCCATTCCATGAATAGAGGATGTTCTTGCCAAAGCTCTGCACCAGATAACTGAGCAATCTTCGTTTCCTT